GGCGGGCATCAGCAGCTCGTCGGGCTGGGGGCTGGTTACTGCTGGGTCAGTGGGCAGTGGTCGGCACAGCCGGGCCCCGCGCTGGGTAAACCCACCTGGTGCTGCTACAGCAGAAATGAGTGAGCTTTGCAGCACTGCTCAGCTGTTTCCATAGCAAAGCGCCATCACCCTACCGCCAAGTCCCTCAATTCCCTATTTTACAGGGAAAATAACACACAAACCTTTGTTAAGTTAGTGAGCTTTATTTAGGAAATAAATACAATTGTATGAAAATGAGTGATTGTAATAAATACAGCACTTGTGAAAAAATACACAGCCACGAAAAGCATAATATTTTTAGGCATATTACTCCAGTGTGGTTACAGGGTCTGGCACACTACTGGAAAAAATAACTTTCTGTCCCTGAAAGAGCGTTTTAGACATGGAAGAGCGAAAAAGACAGAGAGAGAGCGAGAGAGAGACTGTGTGTGCGTGATGGCAAAGAATATCCAGTTCCTTCCCAAGCAAGCTTTGATAGATATTTGTTTATTATAGAGTGGGTTTTTTTGAAATTTGATACTTCATCACAACTAATTATTTTAAAGGATGCTGCCGAGATAGAAATGAGAGATTTGAGAAATCCCTTCATGCGCCAGCAGTGAGGCTGGAGGTCACTCACAGCACGTGGCAGAGTCTCACCAGCTCTGCTAGACGGCTGCGGTTTCCATCGTTTGCAAAATGTAAGCGGACAAACAGTTTCTCCTCTCCCTCCTCACGCAGCGAGCACAATATTGTCCATCGGCTTTGTGTTTTCAATTGAGACACGGCAAATATCACACAGGAAAAATGCATAAAGTGCTTGCGTAAAGGCCGTTCACTCACACATCCACACCGGCCACATCCACAGCTCAACTCCACCGTTCTGCCAAACACTGGCCAAGCAGGGGAGGCTTGCTGCTCTTCGGGAATAAGGTGTAACCCTGGAACTTCGCACGCCGCCAGACATTTCCAAGCTTGACTTGCTTATAAAAAAAAAAAATTAATTCCATACTTAAAAAAAAAAAAAAGACAAAAACATTTCCAGTAGTTACCTCTGTTTCAGTGTGTGGAAAGAGTTAAACATCAGAGCACATAAAAAGAATTAAGCAAGAAAAAGAAGATCAATACTTTCTAACAAGTCCCATGCCTTGAAGGTTCAGGAAGCGACCGAACACTTTAAAACAAAGCAAGGGAGGGGGTCCTTCCCGCTGCTCAGACTGGCAGCTCTGGACTTCCCGGGGGTTAACAACCCTCAGAGCTCCAGGTCTGAAATGGGAAAAGTCAGGCGGCCCCTTTGGAAACACAAGAGGTGATTTCCCCAAGGCACGGTGTAATCTGCTCACCGACTGCTGATGCAAGAGAACATCTCTTTACAAAGCACATAAATACAGGTCTAAAATAAATAGCAAGAAATAAATCATCCGGTATAAGGAATTCAAGCTACCAATGCTATTCACAGCCCGCTGCTTTCAAGGCCATCAATAAGCACAGGCAGAGACACCGGATCGGTGCCTCAGGGGACGGAATCTGCCCTTGTTCCTGGTGGGGGACCAGCCAAACCGCCCCCGGGGCTGCTCGCTCCGAACCTCCCGGGAAAGGCAGCTGCAGAGCCGCGGCGCTGCCGGAGCGTGGGGGAAGCTCAGCTTCCCCCCTTGCACCCCAGAAAGCTGTCAGCCCGCGGGTGCTAGCAGGGAGCTGGGGCCGCGCTCCCTGATGGAGATCCAGGCAGAGCCAGCCCCACAGCCGGACCGGGCGGGGAAAGGCCAGCGCCTGCTTCCAGCTGAGCATCTGCAGCGGGGTGACCGTAACCACGGCTAAACCAGGGGTGTTTCGATGAAATAATCACAGATCTCCTTTGCAACAGCACAGCGCGTGGGGCACTGGCAAAGCGCTCGGCACACTCGGCAGCAGCTAACTCTAGATCTAGGGCAGATCTTCAGCTGAGGGGAACTGATTCAGCAGAGCACAGGCTCAGGCTCTTGGGATTTTGTGTGCATGCGAAAACTAATACAAGGTCTCAAGCTGATGGTTTTTTTCCTTGTAAACTAATGAAATTCAGTGGGTGATTTACCAGACACCCATATTTCAAGATTTACTAATTTGTTTCTATAATGCATTTAAGGAAAAGCGTGTCTTCTTTCACATAAGCATATTTAGGTGACTGTAACTTGGACAAAGGGAGGAACATGGGACAGCCGCTTGCAACATTCATGTCATTCACCGGTCTCTGAAATGAAGCAGAGGTCAAGTCCGGCCGAAATGCATCAATAATGTGTTCCCTATTGTTTTGGTCGAGCAACATAAATGTAACCTGAAAAACAGAATGTGGCAATGATGAGTTATTGAACTGAAAAATAAACCAGGAAATATCAGAGACAGAAGTGCAAACATGCTGCAAAAGCAGCTGGATGCTCTATTGATACTTAAATACAGAATATAATTAATGTTTTGCAACCTGCAAGGTCAGTTAATGTTAACAAGGGAGATTGTAATGGTTCCCTGATGAAGTATTTAAAACCTCGCCACCCGTAAAATAAAGTTAAATAAAATAAAGTAAGGATTTATTACTTGGTAGAGAACTGCACAGTCAAAGACTTTTTCCCCTCTCTCCTGACAACTTCAACAAACCCCAGGTTTGGCTACAGTCATTACATTCATTCTGTTATTGCGGTTTGGAATCAAAAAAAACAGCTCAGTTGCCTGTACACAAATATATGAAAGACACAAGCTAAATATCTGCATAGAATCTCCCCATATCACTACCACTCTTATTAACCCACTGTTCTTTAGCTTGAATGTGAAATGTAGGTAATAATTTTTTAATACAATGAGGATTGGGAACTTTGACTTCTATTTTCTTTGGCTGCTAAATGGTAGCAAAGCTATTTATGTGAAAGGCTTACAGAATTACTACCGCATGAAGGGAAGTGCTAGAACAGAGACCAGAACCTTGTGCACACTTTCACTGCTTTTCTAACCATTGTTGCCATTATCAGATTGCACTTATCAAATGAGAAAAAATAAGATCAGGATCACAGAAAACATCCATGACACATTTGTAAGATCTCTAACCTCCCAGTTCTAACATCTGTGCCTCAGGTAGCAAATCATAATTGCCTCATAAATTGTTATTATCTGTGTATCGCAAGAGCCAGGAAAACACGTGTCTCTGGCTTTCGCCCAGGTGGACACAGGCTGGGATACACCAACACCAGTACGCTGGTGTCTGCAAATCCTGCCAGGCACAGTATAGAACCTCGGTGAGAGCAGCTTTCCCTGTGTGTAAATCACTCCGTGCAGAGATAAATTATTACCCAAGATTACAGTACGACTAATAGCTGTCAGAGAGGCAAATGGGAAAATGCTCCAACTTCCAGTAAACTTCAAAGTCCCCGTGTGTTCACTGGGAGTGGTGGGGTTATGCCAGGATGAGAGAAGAAAAGGTTGCTCTTCTTACCTTGTGTCTGAACGGCCATGGGAGCAGAGCATCGTAGTCTCCTTTCATGACAACAAAGAACAGGGACACGTGGGTTCCTTTTCCTGTCCCATCCCCATTCAGATAAACCCTCAGACAGACCTTGTAGCCATACTTCGCAGTGTAGAAAGCTGAAAATCAGAACTTATCATTAGTAAAGCCTCCTTTGAAAAAGAAAAAAGACATAATGAGTGTTCTGACATATGGGAAAAGATAGTGTATGACGTGTTTTGCTATCACAGAGATGAGAACAGACAGATTAGTACACCCTGGGGATTATAAGCAATGAAAACCCAGTGGCTGGAATCCTTTAGTGCCTCATGCCTCAGTGAAAATTACCTGTTATTAGCCACACAACCATATTTTACCTAATGAAGTTACTTCTCACATGGGAGGTAACTGCAGCAGAAAGGCCCTCGGTACCTTCAGGCACCAAGCTGTGGGTTAGGGGAGGCGGATCCTGCAGATGTCACTGCACGTAGCTGCGGCAGAGGGCAAACTGCAAAATGAAAGCTCAGAACAGAACACAACTCTGTGGAAGAGCACATCGCAGCTGCCCCTAGTTACAAGCAGGAGAGCACGAAGTCTTCCCATAAGCAGCATCTTCTTTCTGAGGAGCTATTTTAAAGGACCTCCTGTCCACTGAGCAGAAAGAAGCACGGTTCTAGGGAAACCAGTCCGTTTTCTAAAGGGCTGGGTTTTGCTAACACACACGTGTGTTGTGTTTTACCTGGTGAATACAAACTGACTGTTCTTCCCGTCACCGAGTCTTGTAACTTCCTGCCAACATCTGTTATTTTCCACAGAAAGACCCCATCATAGGAAGCTTGCTCAGAGAACAGAAGACTCTTATGAAGACTGCTCAGGCCTGCGTCCTTCTGCGTCAGGCACCGGTGCAACTCTGCAATCTAGAAAAAAACCAACCAGTTCTCCATCAACCCCACCTCTCCAGTCTGTTGTGCTGCAGAAGTAGGAGAATCGTTCTGGAGTCCTCATGTTCTGGAGGATCTCCTCTGATTTCTTTTTAAGTGACAGTTACGTGCCAACACATAAGGCAAACAACTGGATAGCTGGTTGTTTGGTCCTCCAGGCATAACGCTGCTTTAAGAGGATCAGTCAATTAAACAACTGTCTCGCTTGCTCGCAGTCTGATAATGGCAAATTCTTAACATTCAAAACTCTTAGGAATATCTAGATACCTAAGCACAAATTTAGATAATATGAGATGCCCATTTGAAAATTTATCCACAACCAAAGGATCCTGTAGATGTGTCCAGAAGTCAACACTTCACGCAGCTCAAATTGCTGTGCCCATCTCTGTCCCAAACCCTACACCACCTCTCTCTGATACCTGTAAATAGCTGTTATCAATACAACAAGCAGAGAGACAATGCTTGTAACTATTCACCTTCAGCTCGAGGCCTCGTATTATATTTTGATCGAGTTCGCTCTGTCTCCGAAAGGCTGTGATTTCCACATTAGAGGTCTCCACCTCTTTATTGAGCACTGCCACAATATTCTCAAACACATGTAGCTTATTTTCTAGCTCAGAAATCACTTTCTCCTTCACAAGTTGTTGCAGAACAGATCCATCTTCAGGAACAGAAGATCCAGGAAAACAGTCTACTTCCACATCCCCGTTGATTTCCAGCCCCGTTGGGATGTGCAGATCAGAGATGCTTTTTCCTGCATCGTTCACGTTCAGCTCTGACTGCGGGATGGAGCCGTTTGCAGCTTTGGCAGCAGTGCACAAGTTTGCCTTCAACTGCTTTATGTGCTGCAGCAGAAGCAGCATGTGGGCGCCGACTGCAGTTTTTTCATGCTCCTTTATCTTCTCTTTGCTTCCCTGCAAGAAGATGACGCTGTCAATACACTCTCCGTACAACTACCACAGCTGGCCTGGGGCCAAATCAAGCAATGTTCCCTTGAACTTCTTGGGAGAGACAGAGATGGAAAAACTGCAAGACACAGGTCCAACTACATAGCAGCCAACTGTCAGAGGAGACACGGAGAGAGGAAAACCAAGAAGCCCTCCAATGGTCAGTTTAGGCTGTACGTTCACATGTGTACACATACTACATAAAAAGAAAAAAATGGTCTACGTTTCTGTATTAAACAGGATGCCAGGCAGAGTCCCAGCAAGATTCTCAAATAAGCCAATATTTAGCACATATACTGCGCATAAAGGATGAGACAAGGCAACAGATGCAAACCAAAATGCAAAGACTGTTACTGTTTTAAGAGGCATCTCCCTGAAGGGAACATCCAAACCAGCGTAGAACAGCGTATCTGATAAATCAGCGGAACTGTAATAAACATCTGTTTTTACCTGAAGTGCATGCACAGTGCAGGACACTGAGTATCACCGGCTGAACTGCTCCTCACACACACTGTGTAACCGTGGCAGTTCCAACATAACCTCTGCTGGACTACTAAAAGTGGGTAGACTTTCTCGCTTTTCTTAAAGGTATATTTAAATCAGGGCCTACCACCTTGAACACAAAGTCTGGCTAGACCAAAGGCACGGTGCTGAGCTGTACACAGTCTGAGACCTTCCTGAAGGCATCATTTGACTCACCCTAAATGAACAGCCAACTTCTGAAAAACGACATCCATCCTTGTTGATTAAGGGTGTAGACTGGTTCTGTTGGGGGGAAAAAAAAAAAAAGGAAGAAAATAATCCAATACCAATTGAAATGGATTCATTTATTTAGCTACAAACAACTAGGCTACAATCCCAGCAGCTATAAATCAGGCTAATTCAAGCATTACTGCAGCTTACAGTGTCCAACTAGCTGTGAAAATTCTTTGAAAATCAATCCAGTGTGGTCGATTGCAAGTTTCTTGCACGAAGCTTGGCAGTTAAGTGTCCATCGAACAGACTCCATAATTCAACAAACCACAGCCATCCCCTAGTAACAACTATCTCGTAAATAAGATGCCAGTAAGCAAAGTGGCCCACCACGGTGGATACCACCACACACACAGCCCCCCCAGCCCTCTTCCTGAGACCGCACGGAAGTGCTGTGTCGCGCAGCACGTCCTGGGAATGAACAGCTCTGTTAGACCAAAAGCTCCGACTGACGTTCAGACTCAGTCCCCTTCACAACCAAGAGCACGTCTCTCTAAACATGCTGCTGTACAGCACACTGCTCTTTTGCTCATGTGGGTCTCCCTAAATATTTGAAAGGAAACAAACATTTCCCCATTTTTGTAAGATCAATTGAGAAGATAATAAAGTCAACTGTGGGAGCAGGGGAGTGAAGCTAGTCAGCAGAGCTATGCTGGGATGTAAAAAGTGCCCAGGTACAACTGCCATATCTGCAGATGATCTCAGACGTCTGTTTAATCTAAACGAACAAGTGATACTTTTGTGAACTGAAATAAAGCTGGATTGCATTCACTCATCTTTTACCTACCTTTTCCTTTGATGGTGTTTCTGTTTGCACACATTTTTGTTCCTTACATAAATTGCCTTCACATGAATGTTCCTGTCATTAAAAATACGAGAAAAGAATTCAGTGCGTTATTAAAACTGTTGAGCATCTTTATTTAGGTGTCTTTCAAACCAAGCTTGTGTTTAGGAAGGCTGTTCCCATTTTACAGAAACTTGGGGATTTGGGAGGCTTTTCTACATGTAAATCTCTGTTACGGAAGAAAAAGTTTACAATCAGTTTCTTGCTTTCTTCCTGGAAGGTATGGATTTGAGGAAGAGTAAAGGAAAGCAGGGTAACTTCCCCAGCAGCACGAGGAGCTCCACAACACACGGTGCAAAATCCGGTACCCCTGCCCAGAGAGTGCCCGCTCTGGGCCTCACTGCGCAGCAGGCTGCCGAGTTCTCTGGCTTCTTTTTAGAGGGAACAACGTGCAGAAATTCAGGACTAAAGCACATCTGCTAAAAGCGGGTGCTGCAGTCCCCTGCACAACGAATTGCAGGCCCGCAGGTTTCTCAGGCTAAGCCCCTAAGCCGATTACTCTTCACACCTAGCAGGCGCGTTCAGTGACCGATCTCCAGAAGCAATAGCTGTTGCGTGAGGGTACAAAGTGTGACCTTTCGCTTACGGAGCCTAGAGCTTTTGGAAACCACTAACAGATGCTTTGCAAGGTCACCCTGGGAAATTTGATACAGGATTGGCAATGTACAAGTCTTGCCCAGTTCAAACACACTTATGCACACTCATGTACACACACACGTGTATATGCAATGACATGGAGGTGGATTACAAAACAGAAAGCAAATATACAGGAAACCCAGACATAAACTCTACTTGCATTGACTTCCTATAGTTTGCTTAACATGCAGACCCTTCTTGCATCTTTCTTATTAACATTGTGAAGGCTGGAATCCAAATTTTCCATCATGATGTGCTAATGCAAAATACATTACTGCTAACATGAGACTTCCTGCCATTTCTGGCTCCAAGCAGGGTAAAGTAATCCTCCTGCCATTGGTTCATACAACTGTAATAGCTGTATTTAACACACATGAACATGCTGTTCAGGGGGGCTGCCTTTAATCTTTATAAACGCCTTTGCATGCTGGTACATTTCCTATAGCAGTCTAGAAATGTTTTGATAAAGCCATTCCAGCAACCCTCAAGTCTCGCCTGCAAAGTCCTGAGGTTTCTCTGTTGATCCTCAGAAATACAGCCATGGGTATTTCTCACTCTCTAACTCATTCATTAATACTCTCTATCTGAGCTATTGCACAAAGTATGTCTTTATTTTGTTCCTGTCTGCTATTTGACTCCCTCTGATTGCTGATTTCCTGAGGGGGAGAGAGGCTGGTGAGAAGTTTCTTTAAATAATGGAAATGCAAAAATCACAAGACCAATAACTGGCTTGAAAGAAAGACTGGCTAAGATGGAGAGAGCAAGAGCAGTGCACAAAACTTACGATCTGCTCCCAGAGGATTGTGGATACATGGAATACACACAAATAATCAAAATGCATATGCCACGTAACTGCAAATTTAATAAAGCAGATGATGTAACCAGCAAAATTCCAATTTTACAAATACTGACGAAGGCAGGCAGAGAAAAATCAACATCTCAAGGCCAATCCCCTGCTTGGTTGCCAGGGTTTCCTAACCAAAAAATTAATTAGATGATAGCTAACCAGAACGAGTGGGAGAAAAACAGTTCTTCGTTGAAGGAAAACGCAGCTGGCTGAGGTGGATCTGCGGTATCACAGACCTTTGAAATGAGAAAGGTGCTCAGGGAACACACACAGCTCAGGTTTCCTCCTCCAGCCTTCCTACGGCACTTACAGAAGGCTGAAAGGGATTAAGTGTTGCCACCTTCTGGTATTTACATTTTCTCCGAAACATACACTGGATTTAGCTCTGGTAGAACCTGCCTGGGTCCAGATATTCTTCTCTCCCTGTAAGAGTTAGTCGGATATGAAAAGCACATGCAACAGCTTCCCAAGAAGCATGTTTTACCACGAGCGCCTTATTCTGACCCCAGAGGGAATGTTACCCCCATGCTGAGCAAATCTTACAGCTCTGTATTTGGAAAGGCATCAGTTTGTGGCAGTTATGGCATGCAAAGCTACCCACTCCTGCTTACTTAAAGCTATATTTTTGAGATATTCACAACAACCCTCCTGCCATGGAGGTCTTGTATCACTATGACCCCACTCCTGGACAAAAGTCCAAGGCTGGCAAGTATTCTCTTTAAATCATCTGGAGGGATCAATATTCATTACGCTACACCTCAAAAGAGTGTTGTCTAACATTTTCTGTGACAACAGAGCCCACGGGGTCCCAAGTTAGGTGGGGCTGGGATGAGAACGTTTTCAGAGCTTTCACATCGAAGCACACCTAGCAGAGTTAGCAGGCATGTGGCATCTCTCACTCATGCTGTGATTGCTTTGCTCCAGGGGGTTTTGGTCACAAAATGTCCTCAACAACAGATGATGCGCTTCCATCAGGAGGCTGAGAAGTGTGCCACTGAGACTGCCACCTTCGGCAACCTCTTCGTTTATGAACCGACAATTTTCTATCACTTTTCATCAGCAGCACCACACCAATTTCCTTCTTCAGCAAGACAGAATGGTTTCTATCAGCTCACTTTACGCCCTCAGACCACTCCCAGAATTTGTACCCTGCTGCATCTACAAAAATGGGTAAAAATAAAGAGCACCTTTTATTTAACTTAAAATTAATGTATAAAGGCACTTCAAATCTGCCATCATAATTTTGAGCACTAAGTAATTTCTTTTTAAAAATAATTCAATAGGTTTAGTAATGTAAACTTAAAAGTTTGAAGATCAACTACAATCTTGTGGGGGGAAAAAAAAGTTTGTTTTAAAAGGATTTTGAGCAAATGCTGGGGACAGACTAGTGTTACTCTGTATGTGTATATATATATACAGGGTATATATACATACATTTTACAAGTCCCTGTCACAACAGCGGGAAACACAATTAAAACATAAAAAATATAAAGTAAATATATTTAAATAGTCACTAAAAAATTGCAGCAGAATCAGAGTACGCTCTTACTGGTCTATGTGGACACTGCTGTTAATTTAGAGAGTTATACCTGATCACATCTAGTAGAAACACTACCTGACAAAAGCCTGCCTTACAAATTTGTGAGCAGTTTTAGTTTAAATAGAACTCCAGCCACTTTCAAGACCTCTTCCCTGCCACGTTCTGCATTCTTCTGCTTCTTACCTACCTCATACTGGGCCACACGCTTTGAGACAGGACCTAAAACACGGGCTGCCCCAGGCCCTGGATGAGCTCAGGTATTTCCCTCTGTTGTAACATCACATGCAGGCTATCAAACACAGCTCATTATTCCCTCCAACATGTGCATGGAAAAATTAGCAAGCTCCGGAAAATTAAATATTCTCCAATAGCATTCATGAAATCAGGATGAAAAATGTCATGGCAGATTATCTAAGACATTAACACAAAGCCCTCAACTGAAACAGAGAAACATTCTTACTTGGTATTCACTACTGGATAAGCTCCGCTTACACTTCCGACACATCGTCACATTATTAACACATCCATTTTCCAAATGATCCGCAAGTTTCTTTCTCATCACCATGTGTCCACAACCAGTGTGGCAAGGGATTAAAGCATATTCACATAAGCTCTGATGCTCCTGGAAGTAAAAAAGTTATAAACCAAAATGTAAACTGCAGATACACACTTATCTATAAATAGTCTCCATGCTGCCAGCCTCGATCTCTGCTTTGCATTTCTTCTAAGCTTGGGTAAAGTCCCACTCCACAATGTTACCGAGATTACTGGTGAAAAATTCACCAACTTTACTGGGGCTTTTCTGTTAATTCTTCAATAAAAAAACCCACCAAACAACTTCTGATAAATTCAAACATGAGGTCTCCCTTGAACTGTCTCTCTCTACCGCTTTTGTTTGAAAATAACATGACCCTGGTCCCAGCTTTTTTCCTCGTGCTGGAGGATCCCTAACTTTTAGCCTGGGGTTTTTCAGGCTGGGTTTTTTTTTTGTTTTTCTGGGGTTTTGGGTGGGTTTTTTGAGCACTGAAACCATCCTGCTCTGGCTGGTAGGATGAACACGGTTACTCTGCTGACATCTCTGCACAGTGTAAAAGAATGGACATCTGACACCTTCTGTGCAACAATTAGGACACAACCCTTACCCATATTCAAAATAACATCTAAAACTTTTCCTTTTCACTATTTGCATCCTCTCATCTCAACAAGGAAAAATGACAGCATTATTTCTTTCATAACGACATCCACCAGGTCTACTTTCAGATTCTTAAAACCACAATGTTTCAGTAAAAACTATTTACTGTGACCTCTTTTACTGAAGCTTCTGTAGGGGCTGTGTCACAACTGATTTTGTCTTTAAAGGGAGATGGCTGTCCCCTGCAGAACAGGCTCAGAAATGCCAATTTCAATCACACGCCCAACTCGCAAATCAATTTTGCCATGTATTCATGCTGAGAGGGGCTCCAGTTCTCAAAACTATGAAGCTACGCAAACTGGGTAGATTTCTCCTTAAAGAAGAATACACTCAAATAGAAAATTTGTGCAAAATTAGCAAAGAAAAGGCAGCTGAGCCTCAGATGCTGATCAGATACACAGTCATGCAAGGTACACAGCAGGCTCCCCTGTCGTAAGTGGAGCAATACTCTCTGTTCCTACACCAGGGGACTGAAATACAGCTGCTTTAGTATCAGAATTATCTGCATTTTTTCTTTATTGTAATCTACACGGCAGATTCACAAATCTTGCCCATTTCAGTATTTTACCTGGGGCATTTCACATCCACCTGAAAAGAACGATGAACGCATTCAATCAACAGGGGTCCTTTACGCAGGAGGAAATTATTTCTCTTATAAAAACCTATTAAGGACATTGCCCATAAGAATGTCCTGGAGACTGAAGTATTCTGATCTGTCAAAACCTGCTTGTAGCATCCTTGCATTTAAATTTGTGCAACATGAATTTCACAATCATTCAGGATGTTCTGGGTTTGGTCAAAGCCCCACTACAGTTAATGGCATGTTTCTAGATACTCAGCTGGTATAAATCGTGATACCTTGGCTGGTTCTAATGACACTGCATTAATCTGTGTTTGCTGAGAACCTAGTTTCACTGTCTTTCTGTCCCCATCCAAGTAAGAGCACACGTTCATTTAAATAAACTGCCTTTAAACGTACTTCAAAATTTTTCATGATACCAGACCAACTGCATCCAAGGGTCACACAGTGTACTTTGAGTTCAGAAATCTCTTTATTAATGGCAGCATCACCAAAAGCCTGGAAAGTAAACACAGTAAGCAAAAAAACACTCGTCAGAAAGTACTCCAGCATTTTTGACATAGAATTAAGGTGACTGTGCCAAAATTTCAGATCTTTATAAATCCCTTATTTTTTTTAAACATACTGTACTGCCGTAAGACTCTCTAACCTAGCAAGTTAAACTTAGTGTAGTAGAAGCCCAAATAATTATGAAATAATTTCTTTCTTATGGCTCAAAAATAAACTGTTCGATGTGATATAAATTTACTGAAAATATGCCCAGCCAACTACAGCTATTATTTTAAGTTTCTTTTCACAGAAGCGTGAAATGTGTCACACGCAATGAATGCGCTGACAGGACCGTAACTACAGGGTGCTGCCATGTGCCACTCTTAACGAATGCATTTCATTATTGGGGTCATTAACACCTCCTAAACGTGCTGCAGAAAGGACTTGAGACTGTTCTGCAGCCAGAGCACATTTCTCAGACCATGGCTGTTTCCATTTAGTATGGCACTGTCTACTACAGAAATGTAAACCATGTGTGAGTGGGGGTTTTTTGCACTATATAGATTTTTTTATTATGTTAACCAAGAAAAATTGCACCATTATTATGTAAATTATGAAACACTACACACTTTTAATATTACGTCTTGCACAATCAAAATAGGTACACTGACATGAGAACAAGCCCTACTAAAGTTAATGGTGTGTTTGTAGAGACTGTTGGGGAGTACACAGTACAGGACTGCGGATTGCCCGTGTAACAGCAGAGAGTGAGACAAGAACGGGGGAGGGGGCAGCTCTACAGAGGGAGGAAAGTATTTACAAATGATGCCCACATTTCAAGAAAGCTACTGAAATTCTACACAACCAGCTAAAAAACATAAGCAAACAAAATTACCAGAATCAACATTCCTGATTGTGTTTTTTTAACCTAGATACAAGATGTTTGTACTTACCTACATTTGTCATTTCACATCACACAAAGGAAGCACAGCCAACTCTACTAATGGCAACATTGAGATACATTTCTATATGCAGAGCCTCGTAGAAGCTCATTTCCTAATCTTAACCTGCAAGTCCAGAACTTTGTACACAAACTGCAAACAACTCGACAAACAAAGAATTAAAAAATAATCACGTAGGTTGCACAAAAACACGTATGGCTCCATCTGTGTATATGGAAGAGTTTATGTAATAAGCTAGCAATTGATGTACAATTAGTGAAAGCATACCAGCCCCATCCTCTAAAACATTCTAGTCTAATTTATGAGCAAAATCAAAGAAAATAAATCCAAGTTACCAGGCACATGGTGGCTTTTCCCCCCTGTGTCGTAAGAGAAAAACTCGAGGAATTTCCTGGCATTACAAAATAGATCATTTCAAATATATTTAACTACAGGGACAGTCCCAGCAGTGCATGGGTTTCTTACTGCCGTGTGCTTTCCCTGGGCTTTTTGTTTCACACTCGCAGTTGCTAAATCATTATGGACACTACTCAGGTGAAAAACCAGGCAGGAAATCCTCATCTCTTCTTTTTGCTGCACAGGTCACTGCTTTGACCTATTCACCTGAGAGCCTGAGTTTGCACAGAACTTCTTTAAGGGCCCGAGTCGAACCCTCATACAGTAAATGAGATGACTCTCACTGACATAAAACTGCTCTGGGCCAGGGAGAAGGAAACGGGAAATATTTCTCTCTGATTTGATATCTTGCAGTTGCACGTCTCCCCTCTTTCATTTTAGCTATTTCAAAGGAAGACGTTGGTGCAGGGGCTGCTGATGTTGATCACGGGTGGCTGTTGTGGCACACACACCTGCCCAGAGCTGGCTGTGACACAGTGGAGGTCCCCTGCCATGGCCCACCCAAGAACCGCTGCCAGACGCACTCCTCCTCGGCACTCTGACCCACTCAGTGTGTATCCTACGGCTTCAGGCTAAGGGAGGACTGGTCTACAGCTCATGTGGTCAGGAAGACCAGCTAGCAACGCGTTTAACAAGCAGATCGATCTGGCCAAAAGCTTTCCAGGATAAATCCAGCTGGTTTTTTTTCTCTCCAGCTGAAGCAGGATCTTCAGTTGCTCTCACACAGCCAGAGAGGGGAGAGCCACAAAGCAGTTTGTGTTCAGTTTAGAGCCCACAACTGTCCCCTACGCCAGACCTACGAATGACAGCAGACAGGGCGTGAGCAGAGGCTTGGGAGGATGTCCCCCCTCCTCTAAACTGACAGATGCAGACGCTCAGTAACTGACACTGATGAACAGCACCATGATAAGACTTGAAGCACAGGTTATATAGGAAGGGATCATAAATTAAAAGTGTAACAGGGAACGGATGGGACTTATCACAGAAAGATCTTGGGATAAGCTAAGGCAAATACACATCCTGACGGGACCTTTCTTTCCCTTGTGTAGGTATCTTGCTTAAAATATAAGCACATAAACAGATAGCATAGGAAATAAACATTAAGCAAAACCACAGCAAAGTTAAAGCAGAGATTATAAGGAACAGATATAAAGAATAAACCTGCTAAATGATCTTCATTACTCATATTGTTTACAAACACCGACCATTTGTTGCAAGTAGATCCCTACAGGCAGATCCTCACGCCCTCGTGGTGACTGACTTCATCTGGACTCTCAACAGGCAGAAGAATCTGCCCCGGCACATCAGCTTGCAAGACTGGGGCCCTGTTTACAACAACCCACCCACAGACTTTGCAGAAAGCCCCAGCAGACTTCATGAGAATCCCACAGCAGAGAAATCCCAAAGTTGTAAGAGAACTGACAGTCAACACAGAATAAAAAGTTCATAAGGGTTTAGCTGTACCTATTTGTGGTTACATGATGCATGAAATTCTGTTACTGAGAAATTTATTGCAGAATTGAGGATTTTTTCTGAGATATTACCAAGCTCAGCATTAACTGCAGATTCATTATTTTGCTGCAGTCGCTTCCTAAACTTCACCTTTGTCCTCACTGCCAGCTGCCTGTTGGGTTTCAGTTTTCCCCAACAAATTTAGACAGAATGTGTGTCTCTTGGTATTCCTGTAAGTAATCGGAACAGAGGGAAAAAGACAAGCTAGGACTGAGCCCTATGGCCCAGTTTGTATTTACGGTATAGAACAGTGAAGCAGTCTTCCTGCAAAATCACACAACAGCAAAAGAAATCTGCACTGTTAAATTACAGATGAAACTTTTGCCAGTGCATAGTTTTTATCAATTATTATGTTCAGCTCTAAGTTTTCTACTATTTTCTCCAGATACCCTGGCTGTCAGAATACTTCCTAGGCAATTCAGCTGGCTAGCCTGCACTCTAGCTTTTTTTTCATAGGGCAGCTCCACCTGTAAGCCTGGTAACATGTTTGAAGGGAACCATGAAAATCCAGGTAGGATACTTACTAAGGATAGTAAGTAACAGCTAAGACATATTATTACAAGTAGGAAAGTACTGATTACTTTGAGACAACAAAAAGTTAATTACATGGAAGAGTGTGGGATTTTATGTTGCAGAACCTGACAGATTTGGAAAGCCCTAAGGCTGCCATTACACTTCTTAAAATCCAAACCTGCAGGAAATCCAAATGACTAAAGCATAAGTTAAAATGTGTAAATATCAGTCGCTATCACATTTTATATTATTCCCTCCTAAACTGCAGTCCAATGATGACTATAGAGTAGCCCACAGAATGGTCGATGATAAATTAATGAACTGTGAACTACACCTTACCCTTTCTTCTGCCAACAGGCTTCCCTCGCTTAAAGTGCTGGGATCTTCCTCTTTACATTTCTGGCAAATCGGATTTTTATTGTTTCTGGCAAAAAGAAAGAAGGAGGAAATAACAATCAGTTGCTGTACTTTAGTTTAGGAGGTCTTTGTATAGACACTGACACAAATAAAGGCACAGAAATTGTCATTTCCACTCAGAATCCATAGTCCTTGTTCATTAAAGGGACAATTCTTGAACACACTGACATCAAAAAAACCCTGCTCAAGACTAGGACTAGGCCCACATATCTGATCTGTACTGCAGCAAAATAAGAGCAGCCTGGATCATAAAAAAACAGTAAAGCCGGGAACCTATTTATGTCATGAAATATGCAAAAAAAAACATGTAAGAAAGGTAACATGAAAACTAAAGTCTTTTAAAACACTGAAAATGCCCCTTTTCCCAAGATAGATACATGGACTTCAAATCACAAAGATCTACTAGAACCAGTGCAGAATGAAGTTCCAGAGAGTTAACATCCTACTGCACCTTAAAAAAGGTTTTGATCTACTCTCAAAGTATTTAGCATAGAGTTTTATATAAGACAAGTGAAAAAGAAAACTTTAGTAGAGGTGTATTTCATTGCCAATGCTGTCTAGCATCAAGGCAAACAATGAACTAACACAGAGCGAGCAGCTCATCAGGAAAGCATCCACCCGACCAGAGCATAACTGCTTTCAAACTGTACTAATTAGCTTGTTTGAGCCAGCGTCCCATTTGTGCTCTGGTGGGAAGATACAGCAATTCCAGTTACGTTCTGCTGCCAGTTTTCCCAGTTAATGGTTTATGTTGCTTCATTAAGCCGCTTTGTTCTAGATTTACAGTAACGGATTTATGTAAGTCGGTCAAATGTATTCACTTCAATACATTTTAACATTATTATACATTGATCTTCAAATCACAAGTGGCCAGTGCATTGACTCAGCCTTTCAGGTGCCCCACACTGCCACCACAGCTGGCGTACACAAACTAGCTTACTAGTAACACCCATCAGGAAGCGCAGCAACGGGCTTTCGGCTTAGTTAGCCAGTACTAACGCCCAGTCACGGAATCTCGACAGCTGCTCTTTTCCAAAACATCAAAGCTAAAGTCAGCTCATGTACATGGAATTGTACTGCAATCTCACCTCCCACCTCCAGGGCAGACAGACCCTTTTCCAAAGGCTCTGCATAAAGGCGCAATTGTCACAAGAAAAGGCAGGATAGAAGCAGCTAATCAGTCAAAGCAAATCCCCACGCAGCTGCTGCTTTTCAGGTTCTCCACTGCAACGGCTGCCATTGTTTGTCACTAATTGCAGCAGCACCTTAACATGTAAGAACCCAGCTATTATTAAAAATAAAACTCTAAGATCATGTTTATTAAAAACCTATAACTTGTCAAAGGACTGTAAAGTCCCACGCAAGTACGAAGTCAGCCTTACACTAGCTCTTCAAGGCTAAATCAGCACCATTATCTCACACCTACAGAGAAAAAACTGGACATCTGCCAAGCCCAGTAAGCCAGCCTTCCCCACCCTGTAGACTTTCACATTGGAAACAAGGAGGAGGTAGAGAGCAGCCTGCAGTCCCCCGCAGGTAAGGACTTCCAGACCACAAAGTGACTGGTCCAGTGGGCCAGGTGCCCACAGACTCATCTACCAAGCCCGGTGGCACGACGCAGCTCTCGGGAGCGCTTGCAGCCACAGAATCGGCCACGGCGGTGTGACCCTCTGCAGCAAGGACCTACCGTACGATCCAGGAGAGGCAGGCTGAGCAGTACCTATGCCCACAGAGCGTCTGCAGCGCTTTCTTCAGAACGTTATTGCAGTTGCTGCACAGGTACTTCTGATCGGGCACGTCCTCACAAATGTTACTGGGATATCCGAAAGGAAATTCATTTTCATCAGGAGAAGAGCTGGAGACATCCTGCGGGCCTCTGGTTGTTGTCTCAGCCATCTGAAGTAAGCTACTGCCAGAGACAAGGAAAAAAAGAAATAGGTGCTCAAACCAGCAGACAGTCGCTTACTTTGATGTGAGAGAATGTATCGGGCAAAGTCCACAAGCAGCTCCAAACCTCTGCAGCAATCTAGTGATCTGTTTAACTGAGTCTGTGGCTGACATGCGTGACTAAATGTCACAGTGGGGTTTGCCTAGGTACCAGCAGGAAATTACTGTACAAATATAAAATTTCCCTCAAACGCAACATGAAAATGGACAGTATATTAAAGTGAGGGGTTGGGGTTTTCTTTCCAGAGTTTTTTAGCTTGTAGAAAGATGAAGTAAACATTGCCATCATCTTAGAGCTACAATCCCATTGGCCCACATCACACAGAATTATTTCCTGGAGAGTAAATCCCCAACCACCTTCAATTCCCAGCAGTCAAAATTCGTGATGACATTTTATAGATGCAGAAACCGAGCAACCGATGTGTTCACAGTGACTTTCCCAAAGTCAAAAAGCTAGTGGTCAAATGAAAACAGAAATCTCAAGTCCACAAAAGGCCCCACGGTTCTGCTCTAACCACATGCACCTCGAGCCACACACGTCACGGTGTCATCCAAGGTCAGTATCGGTTTTGGTTAACAAGAGCTGTGCAGATTAATATTTTTGGAAATACAACTAAAACTGGTTCCAGTGTCTCCCACAGTTGCTTGGAAAGCTCCAGAAAGGTTCTCACCCAGGGACCTGGCACAGCTCAATCAGAAAAACACCTTCATAAATCTGCTTTTTCCCATAACTTTTCACAAGGGTGTGTAATGATAGGACGAGGGGGAACGGCTGTAAACTAAAAGAGGGCAGATTTAGGTTAGATATTAGGAAGAAATTCTTCCCCATGAGGGTGGTGAGGCCCTAGCCCAGGCTGCCCAGAGAAGCTGTGGCTGCCCCCTCCCTGGCAGGGTTCAAGGCCAGGTTGGACGGAGCTCTGAGCACCCTGGGCTGGTGGAAGATGTTCCTGCTCATGGCAGGGGGGTTGGAACCAGATGGTCTTCAAGGTCCCTTCCAACCCAAACCATTCTATGATTCTATGATAACAGCACTGACACCCAACAACCCATCTCAGTGACCAGGTAACGACGACTAACCAGTCTCTGAAAAACCCAAGCCGGGA